TCTATCTATTAACCAATTCTCTACCCAGGCTATTATAGCACCTACAATTCCACTGAGCCCTTTTTTTTATTTTGTACCTATCAAACCCATTTTGGAAATCTGTGCAACTGAATGTTTACTAGTCTTAACAGTGGAAGCACTCATATTTGCTGAGGAGCAATGTACTTGACAATCACTTGATGATCAACAGACGTCAGCCAATGGAAAACCGATTTGAATTATTTCTGAATTTAAATTTGAAGTTTTGCATTTAAATTATTATCCCTACCACAGGGATGAATACAGTGCACTGATGTGGCATCATCTCAATTATCTTGATGGGGTGGTGCTCTGTGGCTGAGTAGTTGGTAGACTCTGAATTGTAGATCAGTTTGTTTATGACTTGAACAACAGAAACAAGGAAATTATTGGACACAATCTGTCATTAAATCTGGCCTATCAGCAATCACTCAGATCAACTGTAGTCAACATTGTCCTTCTGCCTGACCCTCTTGTTTGGATCAGTTGAAACATGGAGACTGTAACAGACATGCTGTCTGTAAATGTAGATTCAATCTCATAGGCCGTCAGAAGAAATAATGAACAGAATTATGTACACTTTGTACATAATATCAGTTCGAGACAGGGTCATTAATACATTTCATGGAGGTTTATCCCTTCAATATTAATTTATTTCAATGAGCACATTTGTGGCAGTCAGTTTCGTGAGACTAACCAGTAAGATAAATAGAGGCTCACATAAAAGGCAAAGCTTGCATAATTTCTTATTTTTGTTGTGCTGCAGTGATAGAAATTAGGGAATAAAAAATCCGACTTTGTTCCAGATATGCCTTTTGATAATATATTTTATATTTAAAATGAGCCAGCTTAGAAATGAATAAATCCAAGATAAAACTTTCTTTTCCCATACCTGAGAAGACAATTCTTTTCTTGCATTCCTCAATCTGTGGCGTCCTTGAGTGGGGAAGCAAATTTAATGCAGAATTAGGAATGTTTAACTGTTTACAACTCAGTCCATCGAGTGAAACAAAAGTTCCACACTGGTCTCTGACAGTTTTTAGACATGAATCTTGGTCAGCTCAATATTTGTTGCCAGAAAATAAGTTGATCTGCTTCAAGACAACTAGGTAGCCAATTGACAGTGTTATAGCTTAGCTGCCAGAGAACTGAATTGCAGTTGACAGTTTTTAAATTGGTAAAATTGTTACATTTCCTATGACTGATACAAACCAGTATGCTAAATAATTCTGATGACAACACAGCCCAGACTAATGCAGTTTAATGGGATTTGTTTGGAGATTGTAACTGATTTTTTTTTTCTCTCTCCTTGCTCAAGGATGGATTTTCCACAGCATAGTCACCAGGTCCTGGAGCAGTTGAATCACCAGAGACACCTTGGTCTGCTCTGCGACTGCACCTTTGTTGTAGATGGCATTGACTTCAAAGCACACAAGGCAGTGCTGGCTGCATGCAGCGAATATTTCAGGACATTGTTCTTGGACCAGAAAGATGTAGTGCACCTTGACATCAGCAATGCAGCAGGTGAGAATCCTGCAGGTACTCCAACTGTGGACCATGATGCAAAGGATATGTAACACTGTCAGGGCAAGCATGGATTAAAGCCAGTACCACTAACAGCCTGATTCTGTCATTCATGTGTAGCATTCATAACCAGGCGTGTATTTAAGTTCAGTTTTCAAGAGAATGTCATGGTTCTGTGGGTCTATGCACATTATGTGAAACAGTGTGCCACAAGATAGAAAAGAAAGTATTTGTGTTTATACATTATCTTTTACCAACGCAGAATACTCCAAAGCTCTTCACAGCCATTGAATTCCTTTTGAAGTGTAGTCACTGTTGAAATGTATGATCCAATATTCGCATAAAAAGGTCCCTTAGCTAGAAAGTATACAAATTACCAAATGATATGTCTTTGGTGTTGGTTTAGAGACAAATTTCAGCCACGACATCAGAAGGACTCCTCTGCTCTTCCCTGCGTAATGGAATGAAATCTTTTCATGTCCACCTGAGAAGGCTGACAGAACCTCAATTGAATGCCTCACCTAAAATATTTCACTGCATTGAAGTGGGGACATACAGCTTGACCACAGTCTGTCTTGAGTTGGCCAACCTGAGGCCGTGAGGTTGCTAACTTTTCTTCAGCAGCCCAAGTTAGAATGGGGGAGAAAAAACATCAGCTGGTTTCCTATTCCTAATCACTATCCAGTCAGGCCTTCAACCATGGACAGGATGTGGCTGTTCTGTGCCATTCTCATAGATGAATGTCAAGTGGTACCTAAGCTTACTTTTGTTTCCTTCATTCTTTCATGGGATGGAGGTATGGTTGGGAAGGTCAGAATTTGTTTGCCATCCCTAATTGCCAAATAACGAAGAGGCTTGTTCATTTTCAGAGGGAAGTTAAGAGTCAACCACATTGCTGTGGGTCTGGAGTCACAGGTAGGCTTGTAGGAGATTGTCTTTCAATTTCAGATTATTTTAATTGAATTTCAATTCCACCAGCTGCCATGGTGAGATTTTAACCCATGACCACAGAGCATTAGCCAGATGTTCTGGATTACTAATCCAGTGAGATTACCACAAAATGGAATAGTGATTGCTTCGAGAAGAGTAATTGGCCACTCTTGGAACTGTTCTCAATCCAGTGGGACAACAGGATTGGTGGGGGGGAGCATGAGAGTACACCTAGGAAGTGGATGAATGGCACCATAATGTAAAAAAAATTAATTAATAAAACTTAATGCTTAAAACTTAATTAATAAGGAATAGCCTTGTGGAGGCAACAGTTGGATTGTTCATCAGTACAAAAGAATCTGAAGCACAGCCTCATAACAGCTTTGCTCGATGAGGTGAAATCTCTAGCTTACGTTTGAACCTCACTGAGAAATAGATTGATTAATGTGACTCAGGACTAATGAGCCAGGAGATCTTCTTGTACTTCCAGGAATGGATTGAATCCCTCAGTGGTAATAGCGTACAGTGATCTGAGATACTTTCTCACAGGTCTCGGCCAGGTGTTAGAATTCATGTACACGGCCAAGCTGAACCTGACCTCGGCGAATGTTTTTGATGTTCAGGCAGTGGCTGGCTTCCTTCAGATGCACGACATTGTCAGCACCTGTAACACTTTCATCGAAGGTAGGTCCTGCACAACATCACCGGCTATCAGCAAAGAGGAACCTTCTCCTTCAGCTAGTGGTATGTATGAAAGAGACAAAAAGATACAAAGACATTTTAAACCCTTATTCTGTTCTTTCTTTCTCCACAAGTTCTTTAAACTATTCAAAGAACAGGTATAAGTAATTAATAATTGGCAATAGTGCCTGTATCTAACTGCACTGATTCTGTCTCGCAAACAGGTATAGAGACGCCAGGCAGTGATGGAAAGCAAGAGAAAGAGCTGGTCACAGATAGTCCTGAGGAACAGAAGAAGGACCCAGCTGATGAAGTGAAGGATGAAGCACCAGTGGAGTCAGAGGATGACGATACAACAATGGAGTTTGAAGATGACGAAGACAAAGATTACAAGCCTGGTCAGTTGACATCCTCCCCATGGTGCAACCTGGTTGTATGTTCACAGTATTATTTTCATTGCTGACATGAAACTTTGACCCCATGTAATTGGCAGCTGTGTATGGAAATCAGTGATCAAAGTTCAAGAGCATCTGTGAGACTGATCCAGACGAGTCATTAATGTTCTACTGTGGCTGCTTGAGGCTAAAGAATTAACTAGCTTTGGGATCCAGGTCTGACTCAACCAAGACAAAAAAAAAAATTAAAGGAGGTTGAAATGCAGATTTTTAAGTATGATACCTGAAATCGTCAATTTTCTTAAATCAAGGCATGGAGTGTGCAGTGAGCTGTCAAACAGTGTCTATTTAGGTTCCTTACATACGTCACACTGAAACTGAAAGAGCTGTACTGTGAACTGCAGAGAAAGAACAGACACTGAATACATATGATCAGTGCTGTGAATCCATTCAAAAACATTCCTGTGAACCTGGGTCTGTGGACCTTCCAATTAAAAAATAAAATGCTGCAACTCTTTCCAAATTTGGAGAAAATGCCAGAAAAATAAATTAAAAGTCAAAGAAAAATAGTTCCACCCAGAAAACACGTGTGCAAACCTGAGGAAGTTAGTAGAGGAATTCAACAGGCAATTTCAGGAATTAGATGTGAAGGAACAAATTGTCATGTTTGTCTCAAACCTGTTCCTTCAATTAGACATTGATGGGTTAGCTACCAAATTCCATCAGGTGTTTGATTTAGAAAGCAGTGGAATTAATAAGGAGATAACCTCAATGCAAATTGATATTGAACTGAAAGTCAGTTCAAGGGACAGTGTTTTTGGGGACTTTTAAACACAGAAATAAACCCACTCATATTGTTCTGTACTTTAAAAGTGAAAGCTTGCTTTGGCTCCACAGAGTGAGACAGTATTCTCCCAAATGAAGATAATCAAGTCCAAGTATTGCATTCGCCTCACAGATACCCATTTGATGGACTGCATACGACTAGCAGTCCCAAACTACAACCCAGACTTCAGGGCACTGGCTGATAATGTGCAGTCACAGGGGTCATACTGAGACTTGGTGAGTAGAGGACAAAATGAATAATTATATTTACACTTGGTTTTAGATTTATATTGTACTAAAAATAAACTTTATTCTACATTTTCTTAAGGGTAAATCCTGGGTTGCACTTAAAAAGGTTGGACTCCTCAGCTGTAGTGCATTAATGCTGCATTGTGTGCTGCTGCCTGTCAGTCACATTGATGATCTCTTTGGTTTCTGCCATTCCCACTGCCAGCTGAGTTACTAACTTGATGAGTGTGTCTCTGCATGTCGGTGACCTTCGTCTCTGTGACTTAGCTGTGGTTGTGTTTCCCTATAGGAGACACTGTGAAAGATGCTGTCTCGAAGATATATGGTAAACGCCGGCACCTTCCTGGCAGGAAAAGCATTTCGAGTGACAGCAAAGATGCCAGGATTTCAGAAAATCCAGATGAAGGTATAGTCTTCAGTCAATTTGTTTGGGTTGTAGCCTTTTCAGATGGGCATGCTTTTTAAAATTATTTTTACTTGCGCCCTTCTATCTGATAGCTGTCACTGGTTTGTGGTAATCAGATAAAAGAAATAAATCTGAGCTTGGGCTCATTGGATACCCCTATTAGCACAGTACCAACCAATTAGGTATTTAATAGCCACCATGCTTCCCCAACTATCTGCCATGAACACATTTTTGTTTTTAATGAGAGAGCGGGTGATGAACAGTGAGCCAGTGCATAGAAGAAATGTCAGCTTTACTTTTTTTCTGTCCCTAGGCAATGCTTCTTTCGCTCTTGAAGGAAATTCATTCCTTCTCCTTCCTTCCTACAGTTCCACACGTGCTGTCTATTCTTTGGTACCTTATCTAACTGGCCATTATTCAGATGAAGGTCTAAACAGTGAATGTTAGCAGGATGTCTAAATATAGGGGACATTAAAGCTTCTTATTCATGGTATGTGGCTGGGCCAGCATTTATTGCTAATCCATTACTGCCTGGGAGAAGTTGATGGTGAGCTGCCTTCTTGAAACGCTGTAGTCCTTGTGGTGTATGTACAGCTATAAGTGCTGTTATAAAAATAATTCAGGATTTTGATCCAGTAACAGTGAAGGAATGCCAATATATTTCCAAGTTTGGATGTTGATTGACTTCGAGGGGAACTTCCAGGCTACATTCCATTTAAGATCTCCTAATACTGCATGAACATTTGAGGTCCATGCATGGTAGCTGCATCTGAACTGAAGTAAATGCATGTATACACCTGTTGCAAGCATGGCCATGCAGCTTAAAGGGAACATTGCTTGTGGTGTTGTCATGTGTCTGCTGCCCTTGTTCTTCCACATGGTAGAGGTCGCCGGTTTGGGAGGTGCTGTCTAAGGAGCTTAGGTGAGTTGTTGCAGTGCATTTTGAACATGGTACACACTACTGTCTCTGTCCATCAGTGGGGTAAGGAGCGAATGTTGAAGGTAATAGATGCTCCTGATCTGTATCTTGTAGATGTTGGACAGGCATCAAGGAGTCAGGAGGTGAGTTATTCAACATAGGATTCCTAGCCTGTAATCTGCTCTTGCAGCTATGGTATGTATATAGCATGGTTCAGTTCAGTTTCTGGTCAATGGTAAACTCAGGATGTTGGCAGTGAGGGATTCAGTAGTGGTAACGCCATTGCATGTCAAGTGGCAATGTTTAGGTTTTCTTTTATTGGACAGGGTGATTACCTGGCATTTGTGTGATGCAAATATTACTTGCCATTTATCAGACCAAGCCCAAAAGTTACCCAGATCTTGCTGCATTTGGACCTAGACTGTTTCAGTATCTGAGAAGTCATGAATTGTGCTGAACATTGTGCAATCATCAGCAAACATCCCCATTTCTGACTTTCCCTCCATCGTAAGGTCAATGATGAAGCAGCTGAAGATGGTTGAGCCTAGGACTCGAGCTTGAAGAACTTGTACAGTAATGTCCTGGAGCTGAGATGACTGACCTCCAACAGCCACAACCATCATCCTTTATGCTAGGTATGGCTCCATCCATTGGAGAGTTTTTCCCCCGATTCCCATTGACCCTAGTTTTACTCAGGCCTTTTGATGCCAACTTTGTCAAATTCTGCCTTGACATCAAGGGCAGCTATTCTCACTTTCCCTCTGGAGTTCATCTCTTTTGGTCATGCTTGGACCAAGGCTGTAATAAGGTCAGAAGCTGAGTGGGCCGAGTGGAACCCGACTGAGCGTAGGTGAGCAGGTTATTGTTGAGTAAGGGCTGCTTGTGATTGAGGATAGACTAAAAGTATGGTAACTGGCCGGATTGAATTTGTCACGCTTTTTGTGCACTGAACATACCTGGGCAAATTTCCCACATTGCCAGATAGTTGGCAGTGTTGTAACTTGAATAGCTTAGTTAGGGGTGCTGCTAGTTCTGGGGCTCAAGTCTTCAGTACTTTTGCCAGCATGTTATCAGGGCTAGGAGCTGTACCTGGTATGCCGTCCTGCACTCTTGATTGAACCAGAGCTGATCCCGTGGCTTGCTGGCTATGACAGAGTGCAGGATAATACCAGGCAATGAAGTTACAGATTGTAACAAATGCACTGCTGTTCATGGCTCACAGCACCTCATGGATGCCCAGCCTTAAGTTACTAGATCTGTTCAAAATTTATCACAACTAGCATTGTGGGCATGCCACACAACATAGTGGAGTGTCTTCTCAATGTGAAGGCGGGACTTTGTCTTAACGAGGTTTGTGTAGTGGTCACTTCTACCGATATGGTGAATGATGTGGAGGTGCTGGTGTTGGACTGGGGTGGACAAGGTCAGAAATCACAAGACACCAGGTTATGGTCCAACAGGTTTATTTGAAATCACAAGCGTTTGCAGCCTCACTCCTTCTGAGTGAGTCTTCGAAAGCTTGTGCTTTCAACTAAACCTGTTGGACTATAGCCTGGTGTTATGTGATTTCTGATACTGTGATGGACAAACATATCTGCAACAGTTAGATTAGTGAGAATGAGGTCAAGTACATTTTTCCCTCTAGTTGGTTCCCTCCCTACCTGCCGCAGAACCAGTCTAGCAGCTATGTCATAGAATCATAGAGTTCCTACAGTGTGGAAGCAGGCCATCGAGTCCACTCTGACCCTCCGAAAAGCATCTCACCCAGACCAAACCCCTATCCTATAATCCTGCATTTCCCATAGCTAATCCCCTAGCATGCACATGCCTGGACACTATGGGCAATTTAGCGTTTCTTTAGGACTCAGTTTGTTCTGTCACTAGTGGTGCTACTCAGCCACTCCTAATGATGCACATGAAAGTCCCTGCCCCAGATGGAAGTCTCTGCTCTTGCCATTCTCTATGCATCCTCCAAATGGTCTTCAACATGGAGGAGTACTGATTCATCAGCTGAGGGGTGGAGGTAGCTATCACGAGGGGACATAGTTTTAAAGTGAGTGGAAGTAGATTTGGGGAGACATCAGAGGTAGGTTCTTTACTCAGAGAGTGGTAGGGGCATGGAATGCATTGCCGGAGAGGGTAGTGGAGTCGGCCTCATTAGGGGCATTTAAGCGGCTATTAGATAGGCATATGGATGATGGTATAGGGTCGGGGTGGAGGTTAGATAGACCTTAAGTTTAGGGTAAAAGTTCGGCACAACATCGTGGGCCAAAGGGCCTGTACTGTGCTGTACTGTTCTATGTTCTAGGTTAGCAGTAGGTAGTAATCAACAAGAGGTTTCCCTGCACATGTTTGATCTGTCCCCAAGAGACGTCATTAGGTCAGGATTCAAAGATATAAATTAACGCGCTTTCTAACTCAAGACACTGAGGGGAGATTAGGAATGAGAACCATGGCTAATTCTTCCTATCCCTGCTCCAAGGCAACAAAGGCCAGTGGTGACCTCATTGCTGTCCCAGCCAAGATCAGCTAACTCAGCACAGACCATCGATGGAACCTGTGAATGTATGGTTCAGTATGACACTGAGCGGGGACTTTAAGCATCAGGGCAGCTTATAACCAGTCAGTTTGAAACATATCAGTTGCTATTGTGAACTGGTTAAGGCTACCTCATTTGGAATAATGGGCATCCTGATTTTGTTCCTTTTCACAGAGACAGCAGAAGATGAGTTGAGTGAGACAGATAAAGTGGAGCAAGATGAAGACACTGAGATAAAAGAGAATGGGGATGTAATGACACACAGTCATGGAGACAGTGGGGCACATTCTGAATTCAGTGAAAAGCTAGATGCAGCTTCAGAATCAGACGCAACATTGGAGGATCAGGATGGTGCTCATGACACCAGACGTCGTCGCTTTGGACCATACATCGACCGCACTGAATCCCGTCCTTATGGCTCAATAACGCACAAATGCAAGGTAATGGTTCTCTGCAGCAAACTGATTTGCGCCAGTTTGTGATGAATGAACAGCCTCGACTACAATGTTTATCTTGGCCAAAGGAGTGCCACTTGTCAGGGACTGAACATACAAGGAATAATCACTTGTTTGAGATGCGGGAAAGTAACTGTCTATGACAGGATTGTGAGCAGCAAGATTCAGCATCACGAGGCTTCTCATAGTTACGAAGAAAGAGGTGATTGTGGTGGTGGTAACAAAACAGGGTAGTTAGCAGCACATGCTGTACCTGAACTGGCAACAAGGCTCCCATGTTAAAAGG